TCTAATTGTTGTTAATGAGTAGAAGGGAGCTGAAGGCAATCATGAGAGAACCCAAGCAAGCAGGACCCCAAGCTAGGAGAGAAGCTACACCGGGTCTGGCCAGGACCTACTAGTCCAACCTCTTCCATAGTAGGAAATCCCACCCATTTGCTCTCTTCCTTTTATGGTTACTCTGTTTTGTCCACCACAGATATATGCACAATAAGGAAGACCTGTCTAGTCTGAAAAAGAAAAGAAAATCACTCATATGCTTGCTGATTTTTTGATTCCCAACATGGGAAAATACAATTTTAGGGCAACTCAGGTGACCTCTCAAAGCTACACATCGGGTTAAAGCAAAAGCCCTGAAGACAAACGTGTGCTGCAATCCCAGCTCAGCCCATCTATGGAGTAATGTTCAGAAAACTACTTAATTACATAGTAAAAATAAAAGCTGACTCGTGAAATCATTGTCAGGATTTGATGGGACAAAAACACAAGTGAGACATCCAGGTCATGCCCTGGAATACAGAAATGTTCCAAAGAGCTGCACAGTCTCTAACTGTCTCAAGGCAATCTCTACAGACACTATCTGCATATTTATTTCATGACTTTAATCAGGACATTACTAGGTCTTAGGCATCCTCAGTATTCAGTCTTGTAGACTAGTTATGGTGAATTTCCCTGAGAGGTTTGTTATAATTAACTAATGTAAAACACTTTCCTCTGTTAGCTGGGTGTGGTGTTATATGTCTCTAATCCCAGCACTAGAGTGGCTGAGGCAGGAGGATCATTGCAAGTTCCAGGCCTGCATGAGCCACAAAGTGAGCTCAAACCAGCCTGAACTGTGTAGAGAGACCCTGTCTCAAAAAGACAAACAATCAAAACCAGAGTTTGAAGTTCAAGGGGGCCGATCTGAATCAGGCCACCAAATGGAGGGAAAGGCACAACCCAAAAGTAGCAATCAGCCAATAATTGGATGGTGGATCCCATGTTAGCCAACATAAAAAGCAAAGACCTGCTGGTAACTAAAGGATTTGTTAAAGGAAATGCTCATATGTTCTCCAGAGCATGGCAGGTTATTATCACCCATATTTAACATTTAATGTTAGTGCTGTCTGGGTTTCGTGGGTTAGTGCACCGAGACCCAGAAAGGCCGTGTGTCCAACCCAAGGCCACATAATTATTTGGAGAGGTGGTTGCAGCTCTTCCCACCCTGTCACCCTGCCCTCGGGGGCACAGGGATGATTGGACCAGGGAGAGGAAGCTTGGGAGAAGAGCTGAATGCCTCTGTACAGGCTCGACAGGTGGTGACAGTACTGCTCCTTGGGATAATCCTGTCACAACAAGCCACACAGACACTGGAGGAAACAGCCAGCAAAAACCACTGCAGGGGCTGGCACAGCAATGCTGGCAGCCCGGGGGAAATGCATCAGGGTGTTCCCTGAAAAGAAAGACGCTAATATATCAGATGTGACCTAAAGTGACACATTCTAAGTCTCCAAGCAGATGTAGGAAGTGAGGGAAAGGGAGCCAGGATCATTCAGAGAAAGGGGGGTGGTGCGGTTCAAAAGGAAAGCATGAGCCTCAGTCCCCCCACACTCCTGTCGTTCTGCTGGGCTGACATTGGCCTTGTCCACTTTCTCCTCTCTCCTGTCCTCTGCTCATACTTTGGAGGTCACCGTGAGCTCTAAGATAGCACAGTGCAGACCACAGCAGCAGTGATGATGAAAGGCAGTGCCTGCCACCGCCCAAAGACTCCATGTGAGTTAACTCCTTGGTGTCCCAGCATTGCCCTACGAGATGGGGGAAATTGGCATTGGTATTTTCAAGAAGGAAAGGGTGAAGCCCACCACATTCAGTCCTGAGAGCTGGGCTCTCTGATCTTAAGCTACAGTCCACTGGCTTGCTCACGGTGTGACGCTACTCTCAAAAGATCCACTGCTCTCCAGGGTTTCGTGACTTCCATCAAAGTATGTCAGCAGTTTCTAAAAAATTGCCTGAACAAGATTGCCTGGGGGTCTCACATCACTGAATTTAAGTTTGCAGTGAGAAGACTTAGACCTAAAGTGTCTTAGTGGCCTAATAACTCAGGAGTCTAGAAGAAGGGTAACAGAACCATTAATGATACCTCTCCTGTGTACCAAGGAGTCCACACCCCATTCTGCACACCTCAGAATCTTGTCAATGTGTAGCCTAGATCACTCTACATTATTACCACTCACTGGTGGGTATTTTGTTTGCCCCTCTGAGTAAACCATAAAATCCTTCTGAAGCAGGAGCTGTGCCAGAGATGCCCACATAAACCCAGGTCAGATTGCAGGTGCTCAGTGAAACCCAACGAAGGGATGAAAAAATGAAACCTAAGAACAATGTCTTCCAGCCACACTGGTCCACTCAGCCTTCACATGCTTGGCACAGCCACAGCCCCAGTTTCCAGAAGAGTTCTCTCTCCCTCTCTGTCTCTGTCTCTGTCTCTGTCTCTCTCTCTCTCTCTCTCTCTCTCTCTCTCTCTCTCTCTCGTTCTCGTTCTCTCTCTCTCGTTCTCTATGTCTCTCTCTCTCCCTCTCTCTCTCTCTCTCCCTCCCTCCCTCCCTCCCTCTCTGTCTCTTTCTCTCTCTTTCTCTCTCTCTCTGTCACTCTCCCTCTAATTGCAATCTCCCTTTACTGATGCACATGCTGAAAATTCCTGCTCCACCTTGTCAACCCTCAGCTTCAATCCCACCCGCACCCTGACTTCCTGTGAGGGGTCCCACTCTTACACAATACCTGACACCTTGCTCCTACACTGCCAGTTCAGTGTGATGCACCCTCTAATCTAGGTAGCTGTGTTGCCTGATTCAAAACCAGGCTCTAGCAAAAACCAGCTGCTCTGCTCTAAGAAAACTCTTAAACCTGCTAAGACTATTTTTCAAACTAAAAAATGAGGTAAATAACACCTACCTAAAGAATTTGGGGGAAAACTAAAGGAAAGTAAACCATCTGAACACACCTCACTCCCAGATCCTGCTGGCATTTACAACTGACGAAGCATTTAGGCTGACAGGAGATGCTGTCTGTCTTCCACTAGCTTCTAGTAGCTCATAAGATCTGTAAGTGCTGGATCTGAATTGCATCTATTTTAAGCACATGCCCATGTGTTTTACACAGACACACCATAAAAACTGAGAACAATGAACCAACACCCAATGTGTGCCAAGGGGATCCAGGGTAAACAGTGACTTCTTTGCTTTAACATGATTGCAACACACCTCCACGTACTGTTTCGTACCCTCCTGAGACCAGACTGAAATTTGTATATTTCCCACTGATGGTGGGGAATTACAGGCTAATACCAAAGCAAAACTAGTCAGGTTCAAAATGTGTCATAAGCACCAATAAAATCAACCCAAGATCTTTTTAACGAAATTTTTCTTTTCATTTAACTTTCACCAATCACAAGGCGTTGCTAGCCTCTCTGAACCTACTAGAAACTTTTGTTTCTATCCTGATTTATGATCGCCTTCATCTACTGTATGTCATCACCATCGAGAATCAATTGCCATGCTGGTTTCTCTCTCTCTCTCTCTTGCTCATTCCCCACTTACATGTGCTGACAGGCTGCAGGAGCTGAGGTTTGTAGGCGGTCACCACCAGGCTGACAGCCTTCCCAACCACATTCCTTTCTCTGCAGAAAGCTCTCTGTCACTTTCAGAAACTGGAAGGTATGATACAAATCGAGCTTGAAAATGTAACTGCTAATGGATAAGTGTAAACCAAATTCTTTCCCTTTCACAGTTTCTATGCTTTTAGTTGTTTCTGTTTCATTTCCCTCCCAGAACAAGGGGAGTTTATCAAAATATAGGAGAGACATTCAGTTCTGCAAGACCAAATGCACCAGCAGAGAACACGTATATACGTATGGGTAATAGAGCAAACCCAAAATCCACCAGCTAAGGAACAAGCTTCTATCACAGCGATCCTTCCCCTAAGGATTACTAACACAGGTGGCAGCTCCTGCTCCCCATTTGCTTGCTGAGAAAAGGTGCCAGGCTTGGGAACCCATGTGCTGCTCTAGGTCATGACTTATGGAGCAAGTGTCCATCTCCAACCCGGACTTATATCTTTGCAAAGCTTTACCTGCAATGCTGACATTCCTGAATGCTCATCTTTTTGAATGAGAATTTAAAGTCCTAGATGTTAGTTCTTTGCTTCTTGAAGTGAGAAGATCTGCAGCATGGTCTTCACATCAATTTTTTTAAGCTCTGAGGAACTTAAAAGTGCAGAGTAGTTCAGAATGATTTCATCTCAGTTTTTTAACATTAAAAATAATGGCACATTGAATTTGAAGATTCTCCCACCATTATTTCCATTTCCTTGGCAAAATATTAATTTACTCTCATTCTCCAAACAAATTAAACAATTCCTTACTCACACATACACACACACACACACACACACACACACACACACACACCATTTCCCAAATTATACCATTATGGCTTCCCTCTTTTTATGTATGACAACATTTGAACACTTTTAAAACTGTTTATCATATTTTTTATTTTCTTTTCAATTACACTTTTGCACATATTTTTCCTTTAGTAGGATTCAGGTAGAGGTTATGCCATTCACAGTTCCAATTAATTACCACTGTTTCAAACATCACTGGGAAAACAGTATTTTATTTTAGCCATACTTTTAAACCTAAAATTTCACACAAAGCTCGCCAACATTCTGTGTAGCCAAAATTTGTGCTGAGAAAAAGAGAGTTTAAGAGTTGCTCAATGTTCTTCACAGGGTGCAGAGCATCTTTTGCTCACCTGAACCCCACCCACCTCCACTTTCAACAGCGCACATCTCCTGCGTGTTCTTGCGGCAGAGCAGAAAGCACATATTGGTATTGGTTATTACCGAAGACAATTTATGCAACCAGAAGCCAAAGATGCTAGGTTAGCAAAACAAAACCATGTAAGTAAGCAAACTCTGGCTGCTGTGTGACACGCCCTCTCGGTATATAAGGGCCAGGCACTGGCGCTGGTGGCAGGCACTCCCTGAGCTCACAGCATCACCATGTCTGTTCGGTACAGCTTGAAGCAGTACTCCTCCTCCCGCAGCGGAGGAGGAGGAGGAGGCGGCGGTGGGGCATCAGCCCACAGGATCTCCAGCAGCAAAGGATCCCTGGGTGGAGGATTCAGCAGTAGATCTTTCAGCCGTGGGAGCTCTAGCGGAGGCTGCATTGGGGGCTCCTCGGGCGGCTACGGAGGACTAGGAGGAGGTTTTGGTGGAAGCAGCTATGGAGGAGGCAGCTATGGAGGAGGCAGCTTTGGTGGAGCCTATGCAGGTGGCAGCTGTGGCGGGGGCTTTGGAGGAGGCAGCTATGGAGGAGGCGGCTTTGGGGGAGGCAGCTTTGGAGGAGGCAGCTATGGAGGAGGCAGCTTTGGGGGTGGCAGCTTTGGTGGAGGTGGCTATGGAGGAGGCTTCGGTGGTGGCTATGGTGGCGATGGTGGCCTTCTGTCTGGAAATGAGAAAGTCACCATGCAGAATCTGAATGACCGCCTGGCTTCCTACTTGGACAAAGTCCGGGCTCTGGAAGAGTCCAACTATGAGCTGGAAAGTAAAATCAATGAGTGGTACAAAAAGCATAGCAACATAGGCGGGGGAGAGCCTCGTGACTACAGCACGTACTACAACGTCATCGACGACCTGAAAAACAAGGTGAGAGACATTTTCATTCCAACATTACTCCTACCCATGGAACACATGTAGCCGAGTCTCAAATTAAGTACAGCGGCACTTATCTTACTGTCTTGTTTCTTAATGTACTCCAGTCTCATCAAGGATTTCCTAAGGTATGGTCATGGCAATATTCACCCACCTCATTTGTTGTCTTACAGGATGGCAGAGTACTGACAATATTTTATGTATTCATGACAATATGAATGAATCTAGATACAAAATATACTAAATCCTTTGCAAATTTGGGAATGCAAAGATTAAATGAAAAAGCGCCAAGTACTATGGAGATACTAGTGGGATAGAACAAGCCATATTCTGTATGAAAGCGCAAGAAATGTGAATTCTCCACTATTGAAATGGTGTAGTGCTTCCCTCCAGAAAAGCTGAATTACACCTACCAGTCATAGACCGTATATTCGGAAACATGTCCACAAATAAGACAAATACGGGTGTGAGTCAATCAAAAGCTGACTCAAATACATGAAAATCACCATGCATAAAGGAAGGGATAGAGGTAGAGCTCAGGGGTGCTCCACTTGCCTGCCAAGTGTCAGGCTCCAGGTTCAGTTCCCAGCACAGGAAAAAAAAGAGGGGGGAAACTTTGAGGAATGCATCCAAGTAATTTCATTTAGTTTTTGGAAAAGGATGGCACAGAAGTAGAAAAGTATAGAAGTTTCAAGAGAATGACTCATATTTAAGTATATGGGTAAGCTTATGATATTTGGTATTTGTAATAACCTTCCCAAACATGGAAGGGAACGACATAAAAATGAATTCACCTATGCTTTATGAAACCATGTCAGCAGCAGACATCTTTAAGATAATTTGTCTCTCTGTCCAGATCCTCAAACAAACAACTGACAATGCCAATACCCTGCTCCAGATTGACAATGCCAGACTGGCAGCTGATGACTTCAGGCTGAAGTAAGTGGCTCTGTTACAACACTATCACAGCAAACACACCGGTCGTTTGCAACAATGACTTTGGAAACACACAGCACTATCTACATTTTCCTAAACTTATCCATAACAAATCAACACTGGCACTGTTTGAGAAATTTCTGATTTCAATGCCACTTTTCTGGCAAACTTCAAAGGAAGAAAAAATCATTTTTAAAACAATTGTTACCTTCCTTTGGTTCTGTTGTTCGTACACTGATGTTCCTACATGAATCAGTGTAGGATCCATGTTTCCCTGATGTGAGGTCAATTGCATGTTCTGGGTGTATTTGGAATTTACTAGAATGATGGTTGTTTCAGGTATGAGAATGAGTTAGCCCTGCGCCAGAGTGTGGAGGCCGATATCAACGGGCTACGCAGGGTACTGGACGAACTGACCCTTGCCAAGTCTGACCTGGAGATGCAGATCGAGAGCCTGACTGAGGAGCTGCAGTACCTGAAGAAGAATCATGAAGAGGTGACAAAATTTAACTCCTCCGGGAGGAGGGGCAATGTGCATTGTGCTCATGGTGCAATCATTGAATCTCTTTGTTCCTCAAACAGGAAATGAAAGACCTTCGAAATGTGTCCACTGGTGATGTGAATGTGGAAATGAATGCTGCCCCAGGGGTGGACCTGACTGAACTACTGAATAACATGAGGAGCCAATACGAGCAGCTGGCTGAACAAAACCGGAAGGATGCTGAAGCCTGGTTCAATGAAAAGGTCAGTTCCCTGTGCATAGTACAGTCCAGGCAAGTTTCCTCACCACGTCAGGCTTCTTCTCAGCTTTTCCCCTGTTTCCATACTGCAGAGCAAGGACCTGACTACAGAAATCGATACCAACATTGAACAAATGTCAAGCTACAAATCTGAAATTACTGAACTGAGACGCAACGTTCAGGGTCTGGAGATCGAACTTCAGTCCCAGCTGGCCCTGGTATGTCTTCTCAGTGACTTCTCCTTTACCGTTTACTAAGTTCCATGTTCATGAAGAGCTGGGGTCTGAAGGAAAACAATCGTGAGCACGGGTGTAAAGATGCTGGAATTGGGTGGTACCATTAAATATAAAACGAATTCCACCCATTTTCTTTATTCTGCCACATGTCGTCTTACTAAATAGATTTCCCTATCTGCAGCTAAACAAGGTCATAAACATTTTCTTTCCAGAAACAATCCCTGGAAGCCTCCTTGGCAGAAACAGAAGGCCGCTACTGCATGCAGCTCTCACAGATCCAGACCCAGATCTCTGCCCTGGAAGAACAGCTGCAACAGATCCGGGCTGAAACCGAGTGCCAGAACTCTGAATACCAAGAACTCCTGGACATCAAGATCCGCCTGGAGAATGAAATTCAAACCTACCGTAGCCTGCTAGAAGGAGAGGGAAGGTAAAGAGCAATACTGAGAATTTATCCCAGTGGCCTTCTTCACTATTCTGAAGAGCAAATCTCAAACCCAAACCTCAAGAAAATGCCACCAGGTGGGGAAAATGTGCATGTGGGGCGGTGCCCAGCATTGGACAGAGGAGGCAGAGTACAGAACAGATGATGTAGACAGGCTCAGGTTCTCCAGTATTGGGCCCAAAAATGATTCTTGGATTGGCTATGTATGCCAAGCTTTTTAAATGATGAGTGTTATCACATAGCTAGCAGAGTGGTAGTCCCTAAAACACGATTTATTTCCTAAAATGATGATCTAGAGAGCAACTCGAAGACTGTCAATGCTAAAGGTAACCTCATCTGACCTTTCTCTCCCTCTGTCTGGTTCCAACAGCGGCCGAGGCGGTGGACGGGGAGGCGGAAGTTCCAGTGGCGGCCATGGAGGAAGTTCCGGTGGCGGCTATGGCGGAAGTTCCGGTGGTGGTTATGGCGGCAGTTCCGGTGGCAGCCATGGCGGAAGTTCCGGTGGCGGCCATGGAGGCAGTTCTGGTGGCGGCTATGGCGGTGGCCAAGGCGGCAGCTCTGGAGGAAGCCATGGTGGTAGCTACGGTGGCGGCAGCTCTGGAGGCGGAGGCCAGAGCGGAAGTGGCGGCTTCAAGGGTCCCTCTTCCGGTTCTCCTGGTGAATCATCTAAGGGACCAAGGTCAGGGGACACTAGTGGGGTGACCAGAGGCAGCTTGCGTTTTCTCTCCCCTGTGCTTGCTTTTTAAATTACCGAGCTGCTTAAAACGAAAATCTTAACGATGTTTTGCATTGGCATCTTGCAGCCATCTATAAGCTTTGATGCCAGTCTTAAATAAGTGGGCTGTTCTAAATGCCACCCACAGCTCCCATAGTACTTGGATTCCATAGTATTTATTTTAAAACAACATGAAAAAGTTGAGGATTTTCTTTGGAAATATTCAATGTATTTTTAATTAACAAGCATTCCTAAAAGTGGCTTTATTTGAATTCTGTTTTCTGATTGATTTTCACACAGATACTAGCAAAGCCAGAGTGATCAAGACAATTATTGAAGAGGTGACCCCTGATGGCAGAGTGCTTTCGTCGATGGTTGAATCAGAAACCAAGAAACACTACTACTGAGCTTTTCACAGACCATTACATACAGAGGCAGGAAAAGAGAAATGTCCGAGACAACCCTGCCATCTTCATGCTCTATGAAGACAGGTTCACCCCTTGGAAATAAGCTGTCTAAAAGGTGTTTGATGATTTACTTATTTCTTCTTTTTTCTTCTCCAGAAAGTGTTCCTTCTCGGAAAAAAAGGAAGTCTTTCTGTTCCCATTCACTAAACTTTTCCCATTCAATAAACTTTTCTTACTGATGCAAACTATCCAAATTTGTCAGAATTTTTATTTAATAATGCGGGTATGCTCAAGCCAATATGAGAAATTTCAGTTTAAAGTTGTCCAATGCCCATATCCCACACCTTGTAAATGTTGTACTTTACTTAAAAAACAAGACCCCACGGTGAAAAGCGGCGCAAGACCCCAAGATGACAAACGGGGCAAGACGTCTTTTTTAAAAGAAGCGCCTTTCTTTTAGCTGGCCCAGCAACACAGTGCAGACGGAATTTGCAAAGCTGTGCAAGTGAGTTAGAGTTTTGACTGATTTTTATAATTCATTTATGATTAGCTCATTGATCATTAAGTACATAGTGATGAGAAACAGAAATAAGGTGGGCCTTTGTTCCCCTTTGCTCGAGGTAAGAGGCATTTCACAGTGGGTGGTTAGCCAATTCATAGCCCTTGGTCTTCCAATTCCAGGAACATTTGTCTCTCATAAAAGGAACAATGGTTGACACAGCATCATTTGTCTCTTACAAGGGGAACAAAGGTTGACATAGCACACAGGTCACTAAGGTAGGGGGGGATGACGCATTACAGAACAGCAGAACGACGCGGTCAGTTAATTTATAACTGTGGTTGGTGCTTGGTTACTAGGGTAATGAGCTCAGTACAGAATGACAACATTACTAATAACTATATTTTTAAGTAACTGTTTTTGTTAATTATCTTTTAACCAATTATTTTAATTTTTAGCATCTTAGTATAACATTCTCCACTGATTTTTGTCAGTGACCCAACTTATTGGCTCCTGGAATTTTCAAGCAGTGGTATTTGTTCATAAACTTGTGTCCTTAAAACCATGAGTTTTATTGTTTGAACCTGGTCTTTGACATAATTTACTAATCTGTTTATAATGCAAGGTCCAATTGTTAAACAAGTAAGTAAGATTAACAGAGGTCTGGAGGCTGCTATGATTAACGTTGTCAAGCAGGGAGATAGAGAAAACCATCGCTCAGACCAATTCTGTTTAGCTTGTCTGGCTTGTTGTTGATTCTGTAGCCGCCTTTTAAGGCTGGTCATACTTTGTCTGATAACCCCAGAATGATTGGCATACAAACAACAATTTTTTTCTAATGCCAGACAGAGGCCTCCTTCCTTTAGGAACAGGAGATCTAGACCCCGCCGGTTTTGTAAAACCATCTCAGTCAGTGAACTTAAAGAATCGTCTAATTTGGAGACAGAGTCTACTAAGGGCTGCTAAATCTTGGTCAATGAGTGCATGTAAGTGTCTATAATTTTGGTCTTTTGACTATCAGGCTGGACACTCTTAAACCTATTGACCTTGTTATCTCAATTTTTAGTAATACAGGTAGTAACACAGGATTTTTTTCGTTCTTACTGGACTCTTTAAGTCAATGCTAGGGAACAAGTGACTCCTACCATTATCTCTAGAGTATCAATACACTTGGGAAAAGATATGGCTAATATGTAATGCTCAGGGCACTAGGGGAACAGGTGATGCATGGAACAAGGAGTTATATTAGAAGTACAGGCAAACCAGGCTCCATTGGGAGCAACAAGGTATTGATTAGCAGGATAGGAAAAAGTATAAAAGCTGAAGAGGCAGGATTACAAAATGCAGCATAAGGGGAAGTGTGCAAGGAGTAGGAGGCAGAGTAAACACAGGTTCCTGGAGCACCCTGTACATTGTCCAGTGTGAGCAGGGGCTTAGCATCCCACCAACAAAAGGTGTCGTCTCTACAGGAATTTAAAGTTGATTTGCCATAAGCAATGTCTAGAGGCAAGAAGGGGCTAGAGATGTCACAGAAATCGCAGAGGGCAAAAAGGTCTCAGGAGCAGGAAGTCTAGTGGAGGAGAACAGAAGATTGGGGTCTCCAGAGTGAGGAAAAAGGTAACGACCCCCTTTATTTTTTTGTCAAGGAAATAAAAATTTACAACCCCAATGTCTACAAAAGTATTTTATCTCTATGGACTGTGAACACCTATGATCAGAGGCTGGCTGTTGCTTTTGGGGACAAAGATACCAGCCAGTGGACTGTAATTTTTTTTGAATACATAGGTCCCTATAAGTCTCTATTAGCAACCAATCAGGCAGCATGACATGCAAACCCAACAACATTTTTTGTCTAATTTTTGCGGGGATGTTATCTAATAGGGAACATAAATTTATCTTAATTATCTCATAGACAGTAGCATTGGCTACCAATAATTTACCAGTGAAATAGTCAGTAATTTTGAGTTTTAAACAGTGGGTTACAAGGTATCTCCTTGGGGTCTCTATAAGGCATAGCACTTAAGAACAAGATTATCAGATACATTTGGCAATCTTAAGATTTAAAGAATCCTTGGAGGGAACAACAGTCCACTTATCTGTAGGTTGATTGATGTCAGAGGCCAGAACTGGCTTGAGGTGGCAATGATGAACCAAGGCAGGCTTTTTCATGACTTTGACGGCAGTCAGAGTGCTGAGGACCCTGGTGTAAGGGTCTTTTTACCATGGTTTGAGAGGCTCACGGTGATGTCTCTTGATGAGTAGTGTCCTAGGTTTTACTGCAGGACATTTACCCTCAGGATGGGCTGCAGGCAGAGGTTGTTGTTCTCGGAATAACTGGTGGATGAAAGTCAGAGCTAGCTGAAGGGCCTGCAGGAACTTAACAAGATCTTGATTAGCCCAATCAGCTAATTTTTTTTTCTCAGAAATCTTAGGAATAAGAGGAGGAAGTCTCCCACATAGAACTTTAAAGGGGAAACAACTATAACATAGGGGGTACATTGCACATGCAAGAGGGCAAAAGAAAGGAGACTCACCGAGTTCTCACCAGTTTTTAATGCCATCTTAGTTATTACCATTTTTAAAGTCTGGTTTATCTTTTTTTACTTGTCTTGAAGTTTAAGGCTGGTAAGCACAATGGAGTTTTTAATCAATCTGCAAAGCTTGGGTTAGTTTTTCAGTTATCTGGTCTATAAAAGCTGGGCCATTGTCAGACCCCATAGATAAAGGGAGGCCAAATTGGGGAAAATGCTATCAGGGCTGACTCAAGACTTAGTAGGAAAAGCTATCTACCAGTACTCATTCCCTTAAAGTTCAGGCTTTTTTATTTTTGTGAACTCTATTTTTCAATGTTTTTCAGGCATAGCCCCACAATACCAAGTGGTTTCCATTTGTTGTGGTTGCTTAGGATTTACCAACTGGCATTGAGGTCTTCTAAGGCTCACAGACTGAGTAAGCTTCGATAACTGAGGGATAAAGGAATGATCTCAAAAAGAGCAGCAAGTTTTGATCCTCCCATGTGAGTGGACTGATGAGCTTGTTGGATGAGTTTTTATCTCAAGCCCTCGTGGAGGAGGACCCGATTATCAGGCAGTTGGTACCAGCCCCCAGGGATATCAGACTTTGCTTGGAGTTGAGCTGCCAAATGTAAGTCTTTTTGAGTGTAAAAGGGCTCTGACAGAGTGGGTGGAATCAGTAGCAATGCCGGGATTGTCTCAATCCCCACTGATTTTTTGGCTGCTTTTTGGGTAGCTGCGTCTGTTAGATTATTTAATAGCCATATTCCTTGGCATCCAAATGGCAGCTAACAAATCCAAAACTTGGGGAGCATTTTTATCTTTTGGCCCCCTTAAGTCAATGAACCTCATTCCTGATAAATGGCCCCATGAACATGGGCAGTAGCAAATGCATATCTGCTATCAGTCTGACAACTTGAGGGCCTCAGTGAGGGCAATGAGTTCCCATTGGGCCGATGTTTTTGGCTCCACGGTTTGTTCCCATAGAATCTGAGAGTCTGTGACAGCGGCTCCCACAACCTACTTACCTTGATAGATGTGACTGCTTCCATCAGAGAAATATGATGGAACTCCGGACAGTGGCTCATCTGTCAAGTCTGGTCAAAGCCCCATGAAATGATCAGAGGGGCAAGAAGAGGTCATCATCAGGCAGCTGAGTATCTGGGTTTAAAGACACTGTCCCCTTGAAACTGATGGTAGTCAGATCCAGAAGTAATGCCTGATAGTGCATGACTTGGGAGTTAGGCAGCCATCCTCTGGTGAAGCTTTGATGAGAGTCTCCAGTGAATGAGAGGAGATAATTAGAAGTTTTTGTCCAAATGTCACCTTTTGGGCCATTTTCACCAGGAGGGCCACCGAGGCAATCATCTGCAGGCAAGGCAGCCATCGGGCTGCCACATTATCAAGTCTCTTGGAAAGATAGGCAATAGGCCTTTGCCGTGGTCCTAAACTCTGGGTCAGTACTCCTTTTGCTATCCCTTGTTTTTTATCAACATAGAGGGAAAGAGGTTTTTGCAACTTTGACAGAGCCAGAACTGGAGCTTCTGTTAAGGCTGATTTCAATTGCTGAAAAGCCTGGTCTCGTGAGTCTGTAATCTAAGGCAGGCAATATCCTATGGCTCCTAGAAATTTTCCTATTTGCTTTTTAGTCACAGGAACTGGAATCTGTTGAATGGCTTGCATCAGCTGGGAGGAAAGAGTCAGTTCTAAGCAAACTCTAATAAACTAACTGAGGGGCATTTTTTAAAATCTCTCAAGCCTTTGCAATTTTTGCTTAATATCAGGTGCCAACAGTTACAAAGCTATTATTAATGGCCCTTGCCTTTTTAGGTGCTACCAGATCTACAGGTGTACAAATGTAATAGGCCTCTATCAATCTCTCCAGAAACCCCGAGGGAGACACATCATCTAATTGTCTCACCTCTGTTACCTTGGACAAATTGGTAGGTTTTCTGGCAGCTCTTAAAGGCTTCTGAGAACAACTGGCAATACTGAACGAGAGCCTTCTTACCTCTGGTTGTCCAATCGGGGTGGGACAAAGGGAAAACACAACTGTTTGGAATGTACACTTGCTTTTTATCCCAAAACATGAATGGTTTTTTTTTTTCTCTTTTACTGTAAACAAAATCTGCTGGCAGTCATCCCAAGTGGGGTGATGAATGGAGAAGACAAATTCCAAAAGAGAAATAAGGCCCTGAGGGTCCTTAGAAAAAAGGTAGGTGAGCAAGAGGAGTCC